ATGACATCTCACTGCCTCCAGCCTTCTCCTCGCTGCCAACATCTTATCACCCACGCCTCACAACCTATAATGAGCGTGGGAAAAACTATACTCTCATACATTTACCCCTCTTTGCCTCCTAAGGACAAAGTTCTTTGTCTCCACAGACTTCCTAAGTGCACCCACTCACTCTTTTTCCATCATCAATTCTTATGATTCACCGCATCTTTCATTGACCCTTCACGCTGACTCGTCCACTCCCATATATCTGAATAGTTCACCTCCTCCATATCTCTCCTCATCTGATATTAATCTTTATCACCTAATCTTTTTGTTATCCCTCATAACCCTTTACTCTTTCCTGTATTCACCTTTTAATTTTCTTCTTTTGCAACCTACCCCCAAAGTCATCACCCAATCTCTGCACACTTCTCTTCAGAATATCCCAAGAGACAGTGTCTTCAGCAAAAGAGCAGCTGTGGACCAACTCCCACTTTGTGTGTGATTCTTTATCTTTTTAACTCCACGCCTCTTGCCAAGCGACCCTAGCATGTACTTCTCTTACAACCCATCTATAAATATATTAACAACCACGGTGACATCACTCATCCTTGTCTAAGCTACTTTTATGGGAAAAAATTTCTCTTTTCCTACATACTCTAACTTGGGCTCCTTTCTCGTTTAAAAAAACTCTTCACTGCTTTCAGTAAACCTACCTCCTACCACCATACACTTGCAACATCTGCCACAATTGCCCCCCTTATCACCCTGTCATACGCCTTTTCCAAATCCATTTAAATGCCACAAAGACCTCTTTAGCCTTATCTTAAATACTGTTCACTTATATGTTTCACTGTAAACACTGGGTTCCACACTACCCCCTACCTTTCCTAAAGCCTCCTTGTTCATCTGCTATCCTATTCTCCGTTCTTGCACTCTTTTATTCTTTCAATTTTTAAAACTTTCCATACACTTTACCAGGTCATCACTCAACAGACTATCCCTATAATTTTTGCACTCTCTTTTATCCCCTTTGCCTTTATCAAAGGAAACTATGCATGCTCTCTGCCAATCCCTAGGTACCTTTACCCTCTTCCATACATTTTATTAATATTGCACCAACCACTCCAAAACTATATCCCCACCTGCTTTTAACATTTCTTTCTTTTATCCCATCATTCCCAGCTGCCTTTACCCCCTTTATGTTACACTTACTGCCTCACTGAACTTCCCCCACACTCACAACTGGCTATTCCTCACTCCTACAAGATGTTATTCCCTTGCCCTATACACGAAAACACGCTTCCCTATCTTCATCAAACTTTAACATTTCCTCAAAATATTTCCTTCCATCTTCCCCAATACCCTTAATCTCCTTTTAATAACTCTCTTCCTATTTTTAACTGACAATCCATTTGTTCTCTAGCTTTCTTAACTTGTTAATCTCACTCCAAAACTTTTTCTTATTTTCAACAAAATTTGTTGATAACATCTCACCCACTCTCTCATTTGCTCTCTTTTTACATTGCTTCACCACTCTCTTAACTTCTCTCTTTTTCTCCATATACTCTTCCCTCCTTGCATCACTTCTACTTTGAATTAATAGTTTGGAAATTAGGAGGAGGTACAGGATTACCAAAGCTATTATCACGAGGGCTGAATGGGGGTTGTTGAGGTGGTTCAGACATGTAGAGAGATTGGAACACAATAGAATGACCTCAAGAGTATACAAATCTGTAGTGGAGGGAAGGCAGGGTAGGGTTTGGCCTAGGAAAGGTTGGAGGGAGCAGGTAAAGGAGGTTTTGTGTGCGAGGGGCTTGGACTTCCAGCAAGCATAAGAACATAAGAACGAAGGAACACTGCAGCAGGCCTACTGGCCCATGCGAGGCAGGTCCAAGTCTCCTACCGGCTTAAGCCAATGCACCCAACCTAGACAGGTCAGGTCACATTGACTTAAGGGAGGAACGCGGCAGCCGACCTGGTAGCACAAGCTATCAGGTCCAACTCACACCCACCCACATCCACTCATGTATTTATCCAACCTATTTTTAAAGCTACACAACGTTCTGGCCTCTATAACTGTACTTGGGAGTTTGGTCCACTCATCCACAACTCTATTACCAAACCAGTACTTTCCTATATCCTTCCTGAATCTGAATTTTTCCAACTTAAAACCATTGCTGCGAGTCCTGTCTAGGCTAGTATTTTCAGCACACTATTTACATCCCCTTTATTATTCCTGTCTTCCATTTATACACCTCAATCATATCCCCCCTAATTCTACATCTTTCTAGAGAGTGCAGATTCAGGGCTCTTAGTCTATCCTCATAGGGAAGGTTTCTGATACATGGGATCAACTTTGTCATCCTCCTTTGTACATTTTCCAGAGCATTTATATCCATTCTGTAATACGGTGACCAAAACTGTTGCAGCATAATCTAAATGAGGCCTAAACCAAGGATGTATAGAGTTGAAGAACAACCTGAGGACTCCTATTATTTATGCTTCTTGGTATGAAGCCAAGGATTCTATTAGCTTTATTGCGAACATTTATGCACTGTTGTCTTGGTTTCAGATTACTGCTAACCAGAACTCCTAAATCTTTTTCGCAATCCGTAATATTAAGATCTACATTATTTAGCTTAAATGTGGCATGGTTATTGTCCTGTCCAACATTTAGAACTTTGCATTTGTCTATATTAAACTGCATCTGCTACTTCTCCGACCACTGCATCAGTCTATTCAAATCTTCTTGGAGTGCTCTAATGTCCTCGTCAGAATGAATTTGACGGCCTATTTTGGTGTCATCGGAAAACTTGCTGATGTCGCTCTTTATGCCCTCATCTATGTCATTTATGTAGATTGTGAACAGCAGGGGGCCCAACACTGACAGCTCGTGACGCTTCCCCACTCTGATTTCTCCCCATTTATGGAAACACTCTGCTGCCTATTTGTCAACCATGCCTCTATCCAGGAAAAAATTTCTCCTCCTATTCCATGTGCCTTAATTTTCCTCAATACTCTCTGATGTGGGACCTTGTCAAAAGCCTTACTGAAGTCCATATACACAATATCATATTCATTACCATGATCTACCTCCTCAAATACCTTAGTGAAAAAAGTTAATAAATTCGTAAGGCAGGAACGCACCTTTGTAAAAACCATGCTGAGATTTCGTTGATTAATTTATGCTTTCCAAGTGGCTACGAACTGCTCTCGGCAATTACTGATCCACATAAATTTTCCCACTATGGAGGTTAGCTTATTGGTCTATAGTTCAAAGCTAAGGACCTATCATCCTGTTTTGAAATAGTATCACATTTGCCATTTCCCACATTATCTTGGCACCAATGCACAGTTTATAGTGATAGTTGAAAAGATTAGCCCAAAGGTTTGGCTAAGCACCATCTTTTACATTCCTTTAGAGACCTTGCATACACAGTTTCATCAGGCCTGGGGATTTGTTAGGTTTAATTTATCTATTTGCCTAAGGACCATGTCCACTTGTGCACTCTTCTCTCCTACCCTTCCCAATATCCAATTTCCACCAGCACCGAGACAGTTAATGGCTTTGTTTCCCATTACCTGACATGAATATTATCCAGCAGTTAATTTAATAACTATGTCCCCACACCAGCTCCAGGGAACAGACTCTATCTCTCCCCAATCCCCCTTCTTATTCCTATTACAAAAAGCACGGTCAATATATCTTACCTGAGAGTCTCCAACCACAAGAATGGCGCTTACCTCTGTTAGCAGGGCAGTAGTACCCTAGCTTCACTGCCACTGAAGTACATTCATCCTGAAGAAAAGAAAAGCGATTTACTACCTTCAGATCTTCACTCTTAACCTTCTTCTTCTGATTCTCCTCCCATTACTGGTTACCACTCGTCACTTGTAGAAAGATGCTGACTGCACCTCAATTGCTGGTAGCCGATGCTACCTCCCCACCTACGAGCCTCCTCACAGCGAGAGACAGACTGCACCTCACTGCTAGAAGCCTCATTCCCCACCTTCCAGCCACTCACACTCTCTCCCAGGACCCATTTGAGGTGGACCTTCAGCCTCCTAATCTCCTCCTGGAGAAGCAAGACCTCCTCCTCCAACTCTCCAACCTCAATTTTTAAAACACTGCAGAAGCAAGCCATGCTTTGTAATCCGTCCCACGCTAATCCCCAAAAGCGCTCAGGGTCTGTGACCTCATCACACACATAGCAGAAGCAACCATGCTTTGTAACCGCACCACGGCTAATCCCAAAGCAGCTCAGGTCTGTACCTCAACGGACGACTGACCACTGACCACTTCAACATGCATGAGCATGTTTGATAGAAGTGAATGAAGACAAATGGTTTTTAGGAATTGACGTGCTGCTGGAGTGTGAGCAAGGTAACATTTATGAAGAGATTCATGGAAACCGGCAGGCCAGACTTGAGTCCTGGAGATGGGAAGTACAGTGTCTGCACTCTGAAGGAGGGGTGTTAATACAGTGGACCCCCGGTTAACGAACTTTTTTCATTCCAGTAGTATGTTCAGGTGCCAGTACTGACCGAATTTTTTCCCATAAGGAATATTGTGAAGTAGATTAGTCCATTTCAGACCCCCAAACATACACGTACAAACGCACTTACATAAATACACTTACATAATTGGTCGCATTTGGAGGTGATCGTTATGCGGGGGTCCACTGTACTGCAGTTTTATAACTGTAGTGTAAGTGCAGTGATGGAGTAAATGTTAATGAAAGTTTTTCTTTTTTGGGCCACCCTGCCTTGGTGGGAGATGGCCAACATGTTAATAATAAATAAAATAATAATTGTAAATAATTATTTACACAACACATCTCTGGTGTGTAAACAAAATAATAAAAAAATCACAGAAATTAATAAATTTTGTTTACATTGAAGACATCTGACAAACTAATTTTTTTTTTCAAGACACATGATGATAATGGTTGAGGACAGACCAAGATGTATCCTCAAATTTGTGGGATATTTGTGATTTTTTAGTCCTTTAAACTTACCATGTCGACAATGACTCTCATGAAGTCTTGTTATTGCCTCAACAACAGGAGATGAAGGAACACGAATGTTGACAAAGGAAGCCAGACTTTCTGTTAATGAATTACGTGATGCATTTAGGGTGGGGGAGATGGATGCTGCAGAGGTACCATGGCAGGGATAAGGCAAGGCACACTGTGGTTCATATCCACTGCTCTCTAGAACTCGAGACAGGGCACGGATTAACGTTTCCTAGAAGCAAGAATAATCAGTTACCAATCAATTTACAGTACATATAAAATATATCAATATAATTTTTAAAACACCAGCCCTCTCCTGACAGTATATAGATATAAATGAAAAGAGTAAGAAAGCACTTAAACAGAAAAAATAAAACACAATTAAAAAGAGATCTATACATTTTCGAGTATTGTCTGCACTCTAAAGGATGGTGAGGATATCTGCAGTTTGGGGGATATCTGAACTGTGGTATCAGTACACCACTGGCAAAACAGTGACTGGAGTGAATGATGGTGAACATGTTTCTTTTTCTTGGGTCATCCTACCTCGATGGGAGATGGTCTCTGTCATAGACCACCATCAGCAGATCTGCTGGAAAGGGTATTTGACTCTGGCCAAAATATATACATGTGTTTTACCTGTGTATCTGTGTGTCAATCAAAGCTGAGGGACTGAACACCATCTATCAAGGATGAGAGACTGAACACCTTTGTCAAAACTACCTCTCCACTTCTCCAGTATTAAAATCATCTGTATTTGACTGAAGATGCCAGCTGTACAGGCAAATCATTTCAACAATAAAGATACCATAGTGCTGCACATGTTTTATACATCAATTCACCAGTTGTGTTTGCAGCCACTAAGTCTTAGTCTCTGCCACCAGATTTTAACTATTACTGATTGGCTTTACTAATTTCTGGTCAAGGTCTGATCATATCTGCTCTTTAAATGGTAAATGGTGTCTTCCTCCATGTGTGTACTCACCAGTGGAGGTGCTGAAGCCTTGAAGAGAGCCAAGAACTGAGAGAGATCGGTGGCTGTGAGGCACCAGTGACCCACTTCAGCCCACACTGCCACTACCGTTCCCACCACATCTGGCAAACAAACAGCAAATTGATCAAACAAGAGATATGCATCATTCCTGCTTGGGAACATATATAATTAATCCCAATTATCACTTACACTCATACAATACCAGTATATACCTGTGAAAACTAGATAGTAAAAAAATCCATGTTTCAACCTTCATATTATTTTGTACTCTACATAAATTTTAACCTTATAAGCATGAAAGTACTTTGAATATAGAATATATTAAATCTGCCATTTGTTAGGATGCCAATTTTTCACACACTTGCACCTAACCCAAACATATACATGTACTTATATATGCTCCATTAAACAAACATTACTCAAACATAACAAGGACACCAAGTCACCAACCTCTCTCATTGCCGAACAAATGCCCACTCATACAGCAGATCTAAATGGCATGCTTAAAACAATAGTGAAGATAAGGCACACTTTGCAGAAGAAGCTTTTATTAGGGTACCATTTCAATCTATTTAAATCTTTATCAAGTGATTTTTTACCATCTGTATAAAATGATAAAAATATTAAAGATCAAAATGTTGTCCATACAAAATCTTATTTGGCAAAACAGTACAGACAAAAGATAACTTACCTTGATGACTAGGACTGTTGGCAGAGATCAAGTCTTTAAAGCCATCAAGAAGCCTCGACAGGAACCCAAGCGAGTGAAGTCGACGACAAACCCTTGCCGAGGTGCGGCAGAGAAGCAGCAGTGCATGAACACACTGGGTTAGAGAGGCACTGTGGGCTGCTTCGCTCTCACTGCACAGTCCAACTACTGATAAAGATTGTGTCGATTCACTTCGTGAGATGTGTGGAGAAGTCATTTCCGAGCATGGCAAACTCGCAAGCTTATTCTCGGTCTGGCCTTCCCCCTGTGAGTCAGTTGTGAGCTGAAGGCCTCTTAAGCTGCCACCACAAAATTTAGTAGGTAGGCTTTCACCAAAAGAATCATTCCCTGAACTCATATTTGCACTTGCAGCCAAATTCTCAACCACTGTATCACTGGTGACATCTGACTTTCCATCTCTCCACAACCCATCCTCCCATTCTAAAGATTGCTCTTCAGAACTGGCGCTTGTATCTTCATCCGAGTGCAATGTGTGGTAGATGGATGAGGTCGAGGAATTACTCTCAGCCATGGATGAACTCTGAGCACGAGACTTTTTTATTCTGGCTCGGAGACCTTCAGTAATTTCTTTTTTCTTGTTCTTGAGTACTTTCTCAGCACACCCTAGATCATCACCCCTAGGATACTGCTCCCTTACTTTCTCTCTCTCGGTGAATGTGTGGTATCCGCTAGATCTGTGCCCCCGTTCGTACCTACGGTCTGGGTCTCAACTACACGCTGGCTGTCAACCTCAAGTTGGTCTTCGGTTACAGGTTTGTCCTCAGGACCTAGCTGGTCCTCAGCACCTGATTGGTCCTCAGCACCTGGCTGGTCCTCAGCATCTGGCTGGAACTCAGCACCCAGCTGGTCTTCAGCAACAAGTTGGTCTGTAACTAAGGACTGATCCTTGGCTACAGACTTATCTTCAACAGCAGACTGATCCTCAGCAGAGGACTGGTCCTCAGCAGCAGACTGATCCTCAGCAACAGAATGATCCTCAGCAGTAGATTTATCCTCAGTTGCTGAATGATCCTCAGTGGCAGATTTATCCACAGCTGCCGAATGATCCTCAGCAGCAGATTTATCCTCAACTGCTGAATGATCCTCAGCAGATTTATCCTCAGCTGCTGAATGATCCTCAGCAGCAGATTTATCATCAGTTGCTGAATGGTCCTCAGAAGCAGATTTATCCTCAGCTGCTGAATGGTCCTCAGCAGCAGATTTATCCTCAGCAGCAGATTTATCCTCAGCTGCTGAATGATCCTCAGCTGCAGATTTATCCTCAGCTGCTGAATGATCCTCAGCAGCAGATTTATCCTCAGCTGCTGACTGATCCTCAGCAGCAGATTTATCCTCAGCTGCTGAATGATCCTCAGCAGCAGATTTATCCTCAGCTGCTGAATGATCCTCAGCTGCTGACTGATCCTCAGCAACAAGTTTATCCTCAGCTGCTGACTGATCTTCAGCAAGAGATTTATTCTCAGCTGCTGGCTGATCCTCATTAACAGATTTATCCTCAGCTGCTGACTGATCCTCAGCAAGAGATTTATCCTCAGCAAGAGATTTATCCTCAGCAACAGATTTATCCTCAGCTGCTGACTGATCCTCAGCAACAGATTTATCCTCAGCTGCTGACTGATGCTCAGCAATGGACTGATCTTCAGCTGCAGATTGATTCTCAGCAACAGACTGATCCTCAGCAATGGACTGGTCCTCTGCTGATGACTGGTTTGCTGACTGGTTCTCAATTGCAGACAGATCTTCAGCTGCTGCAGACTGATCCTCAGCTATGACCTGGTCATCAGTGACAAGTTGGTCCTCAGTACCTGACTGATCCTCAACATCCGATGCGATCGCGGCACCAGGATGATCCTCGGACGAAGGCTGATTCTCAGCTTTGGGTTCATTCTCACTGATGATCTGGTCCTTAAGCTGGTCTTCTGATTCCGAATGACCTTCACGTTTCAAACTGTCCTTGTACAGAGGGTGTCGCTTGCTTCCTGATGGGTAGCTGAAGGAACAGACATCCGCCGAGGGGTCATTTGCTCCCGAGCAAGTTGCAACTCTTTGCTGGTCTTCAGGCACAGTTTGATCATCTGTTCTGGTAGGGTCCTGTGACTTGGATAGTGCTTCCTGCCGAGCCTCTTCCTGCGACTCAAGAAACCTCTCGTGGTGGTTGATTATGAGGTCTAGTGCCAGAAGTACAAGCTCAGGGCAATGTAAGTCTTCTTCCTCATGCAAAAACCTACAAAAGAAATGCAAGTATTTAATTACCCATTATTCTCTGACTTGTGCTCATGATTCACTTAACTCTTTCACCAACAGAACTCCCAAAATAAAAAGTTATCAGTGTTGCAGTTTTTTTTTTTAAATAATCAATGATTTATATGAATATTTTTACTAAAAATTGAAGTATGCCAGAAAATGCTATAAACCATTTTGAAGTCTATAATAATTTTATCTTCTAAAGTAGTAAAGAATCTTATTTGTCGAGGTAATGACACCAAAAACTGCAATATCTGATATACCGCAGAACTTAAAGAATTACGCAGGCACAAAGTAGGAGATCAAAGAGCACTTTACGCAACAAGTAATTTCACCCACCTTGAGGCCAATTCCATTGTTCAAACTGACCCAATTCCTTGCTATTTAGATTGAGCACATACACACTATACAAAACACCCAGTAGTCAGTAATTTAGCCAATTTTTCACAAAATGCAACATATTACAATTTAAAAACAGTCTAAAATAAACACTGTATGCATTCCAGCTGTTAAGACAACCTTTCCTCTGTTCATTAACCCTTTCAGGGTCCAGACCCAAGATTTGAGATTTGTCCACAGGGCCCAAGAATTAAAAAAAAAATTTTTTATTTTTTCTTATGAAATGGAGGAGAATCTTTTTCTGAAGGTAATAAAAGAAAAAGTACATAATTTGATGGAAAATTTATTAAATTATGCTCTCGCGAATTTTGATATGTCAGCGATATTTATGCATCAACGATTTAGCCGACTTTGACTCCCATTTTAGGACAATTACATACATTATTCCAGTCGTCCAAATTCTTAGCCATTTCGCTAGTATTACTTCTATTTTATTGATTGAGCACAAGAAATCACCACTCGACTGTTTCAACTACTCAATAAAGTATTCGGAAATTGGTAATTTGGCCAATTTAACACAAAGCTCAAAATACACCTACCATCCGACTTACGACCGAGTTCGGTTCCGAGAAACCGGTCGTAAGTCGAGGTGGTCGTAAGTCGAACTTTACTTCTGAATATCAACAAAACATTTTTGTAATGACTTTATTTTATTGTTTTATTTTGGTATTTCATGTTTTACTTTACTTTTTATGTTGTTAGTACTGTATTTTATACTGTAAGGCTCAGGATAAACACTGTGTACAACACAAATAGTTGTTTATTTCCCAGAAATTTGGCATAAAAAACATGGTCGTAAGTCGAGTGGTCGTAAGTCGAGCAGGTCGTAAGTCAGATGGTAGGTGTATTCCAATTTCAAAATAGGGTCCAGAATAAACATTGCAAGCATTCCTGGCACTAAACTAACATTTCCTCTGTTTATTAGTTATGTTTTCAGGCTTTACAAATAAATTCCATTTTTATTTTTTATTCACATAATGAATTTATATTCAAATCAAAAAATGGAAAATTTACTGTTATGCAATATTGTAATAACTGTATAAATAATATCAGTACATTTGTGAAAGTGTATTAGACCCACCAGCTGATGCATATTGAACTTGTTATGACATTTGTTTACCCTTGAACATCGACAAAAATTGAACATCTCCTCTACTTTGAGCTCAGTTTCAAGCCATTTATAGTACTAAAACCAATCAAAATCATCTCTGCTTCTGTAATATATCTTCTATTCTATCCAATGAGACCAAGAAATCACAAATACAAATATAATAATAAACATACAGAGAAAACCTCACAAAGTCGCTGTTTTAATAGAAAATTACAGTCTCAGTTTTTTCTTTCACATTATGCACTGTGTGCTGCAGGATTTGTTTTATGTGGTGCACACTTACCACCACATAGATGTATTCTCTCATAACTAAGCCCAAATTTACCACTCAGAGCTTATCTGAGTGAGCTGAGCTCATGGAGTAGAACTATGGTTTGGACCCAGAACTCAAGGCCGTAGAACTATGGCACGGACCCTGAAAGTGTTAATCATGTCTCCAGGCCTCTCCATTTTGAATCCATCACATAAAAAATAAAAGTTTTACCCTATTTCTCAGCAAATAAAATATAACCAGGAATGATTAGTTATCCCTCTAACTGAAGCAAACCTAATAAAAAGTCATAAAACAGACCTGGAAGGAGGGCAAAGCCCTTACCCTTCCTCAGGAAAATTGCTGAAAATCAAATATTTCTGCTACTTTGAAGCCTATTTCAGGCCACTTCAGGTCTGAAACCAACCAAAATGACCTTCATTTCACTAGTAAGTCTATCAAATGACATGAAGAAACAGCCCTTAAAACAATGTACATATGTACATACATACACACACACACCTAACAGGGAGGCAACAGCGAGTCATGGTCCGTGATGAGGTATCACAGTGGGCGCCAGTGACGAGCGGGGTCCCACAGAGGTCAGTCCTGGGACCAGTGCTATTCTTGGTATATGTGAATGACATGACGGAGGGGATATACTCAGAAGTGTCCCTGTTTGCAGATGACGTGAAGTTAATGAGGAGAATTAAATCAGATGCGGACAGACAGGTCTACAAAGAGACCTGGACAGGCTGGAATTTAACCCTGCCAAATGCAAAGTCATGAAGATCAGAGGAGGGCAAAGAAGACTGCAGACAGAGTATAGGCTAGGTGGCCAAAGGCTGCAAACCTCACTCAAGGAGAAAGACCTAGGAGTGAGTATAATACCGAGTACATCGCCAGAAGCACACATTAACCAGATAACTGCTGCGGCATATGGGCGCTTGGCAAACCTGAGAATAGCGTTCCGGTACCTCGGTAAGTAATCGTTCAAGACTTTATACACTGTGTACGTCAGGCCCATACTGGAGTACTCAGCACCAGTTTGGAACGCAAACTTGGTCAAACACGTCAAGAAATTAGAGAAAGTGCAAAGGTTTGCAACAAGGCTAGTTCCAGAGCTACGGGGAATGTCCTATAAAGAAAGGTTAAGGGAAATCGGTCTAACAACACTGAAGGACAGGAGGGTCGGGGAGACATGATAACGACATACAAAATACTGCGTGGAATAGACAAGGTGGACAGAGACAGGATGTTCCAGAGATGGGACACAGAAACAAGGGGTCACAACTGGAAGCTGAAGACTCAGATGAGTCAAAGGGATGTTAGTTATAGAGTAGTTAGGAAGTGGAATAGTCTGGCAAGCGATGTAGTGGAGGCAGGAACTATACACAGTTTTAAGACGAGGTATGATAAAGCTCATGAAGCAGGGGGAGAGAGGACCTAGTAGCGGTTGGTGAAGAGGCGGGGCCAGGAGCTGAGTCTCGACCCCTGCAACCACAGTTAGGTGAGTACACACACACACACACACACACACACACACACACACACACACATACACACACACACACACAGTGACCGGGTAGCGGCCAGGTGAAGAGGCGGGGCCAGGAGCTGTGACTCGATCCCCACAACCACAACTAGGTGAGCACACACACACACACACACACACACACAGAATGTTCCAGAGATGGGACACAACAACAAGGGGACACAGCTGGAAATTGAAGACACAGATGAATCACAGGGATGTTAGGAAGTATTTTTTCAGTCACAGAGTAGTCAGGAAGTGGAACAGTTTGGGAAGCGATGTAGTGGAGGCAGGATCCATTGATAGCTTTAAGCAGAGGTATGATAAAGTTCATGGTGCGGGGAGAGTGACCCAGTAGCGGCCAGTGAAGAGGCGGGGCCAGGAGCTATGACTCGACCCCTGCAACCACAACTAGGTGAGTACAACTAGGCGAGTACAAAAAAAAACACACAACACACACACACATGCACACACAATACATACACACAAAACATGCACACACACACAAAACACATGCATGCACACATGTGTGCTGTGGAGAAATTTTCTCCAGGAGGGGGTATCAGCCCCCTTCAGTCCCTTTCAGCCCTCTGAGGGACTCAGCCCTCCAGAGGGGCTGATGGCATCTTGCTTCTGCATCTCTGCATCAACACTTTAATTGATTCCAGATGCACTATGAGTATGTGTCACGGTCATGCGGCTCTTTGCAAGAGACCAGTGTTGCAAGTAGTGTAGTTTAATGAGAGACAATCAATCTCTTACCTTAGCAGGACGATTAAGGAAAATCCTGCACCTACTTTAATACCATGGTAAAGATAGTGTACATTGTTGTGTATGACTAGACAGCAAGAATCATGCATTCTGCATTGCTTTCATGAAAGAAGTTTGACAAACGGGAAATATGCTTTGTCGGCACTTCTTTTGTGTGTCGGGAAGCTCGGGGTAGATGGAGACGCCGCCGGCTAGATTACAATATACGTATAATGGTGCAGTAAAGACCACTTCACGCTAAGAACGAACAAAGGAAGTGAATTGTGCACTGCTGTACCTCAGACAATCTCCATAATAACTATAAACCTTTCTTTCAATCTTTCAACACTCTGGCTGTATCCCACTGAGGCGGGGTGGCCCAAAAGGAAAAACGAAAGTTTCTCCTTTTACATTTAGTAATATATACAGGAGAAGGGGTTACTAGACCCTTGCTCTTGGCATTTTAGTCACCTCTTACAACACACATGGCTTACGGAGGAAGAATTCTGTTCCACTTCCCCATGGAGGTAAGAGGAAATAAACAAGAACAAGAACTAGTAAGAAAATAGAAGAAAACCCAGAGGGGTGTGTATATATATGCTTGTACATGTATGTGTAGTGTGACCTAAGTGTAAGTAGAAGTAGCAAGATGTACCTGAAACCTTGCATGTTTATGAGACAGAAAAATGGACACCAGCAATCCTACCATCATGTAAAACAATTACAGGCTTTCGTTTTACACTCACTTGGCAGGACGGTAGTACCTCCCTGGGCGGTTGATGTCTACCAACCTACTACCTATAAACTATAAACCTATTACCAGGAAAGACAAACCTTGTGGAACATAGTGTACCAGTGTGCATATTCCTGGACTGTGGAAGACGTGGACATTCTCAAAGACACTATTCTTCAATCAAGACAACGATATCCAGGTGTAAGGGTCCGATACACAAACCCAGGTAGGTCTGTTTAGCGTATGATGATTCCACTGACTGCGCAGTTGAGAACTAATGTACGCTGAACAGATTACCATATACCCTGGTGATATACGGGCCTTTTAGCCCAACACACATGAGTATAGGATTCAATGGATCCAGTCAGTATTCAGTAATAAAAATACTGACATAACATCCTCTAGGGGTAATTAAACTCACACATAATATTTTAATTTCCATCCCTGAAGGAATGCATATGACAGCTTCTCAAGACATTACCTGCAGGGACGGCTGTGTAGGCGAAAGCTATCTTTTAAGTCCCTTTCCAGTCCACTATTTAATCTTTGACTTAGCTTGTAGCATTTCCCTCAACATGCGCTCATGCACGCACACACACACACATGCGCGCCACACACACACACACACACACATGCGTGCCACACACACACACACACACACACATGTACTAAGAGTGCTATACCTTGTGGCTGATGGGGAAGCATTTGCCAGCTGCTCAGTATCAGCCTCATAACCATCTGTTTCATCATGCTGCTGCTCTTCGGCTTCACCAACTGGTGCAGTGTCCTCATCTAGCAGTTCCAGAGCGTGCTATAAAAAATTAAGACATTTTGTAACCTAAGTACAAAAATCTGTAACTAAAATTTGCACCATATTCTCAAATGTAGATACGTACTGACATATAATATTGTTGCACTGTACTGTATGTACATAAATGATTAAATATTCCTTCTCATAATCACCAGTCAACATACTTGAGTTGGAAGTCGAAGTGTATAGGTAATGCCAGCAGAATTGGAGAGGACACAACACTGGAGCAAGACAGAAACAAGATGTTTCACATCTCCACAAGTACGAGGAGAATACCGTAACAGGGGCGATCGTAACTCATTCAACAGTGTCTCAATATTCAATCCTAAAACATAATGCAAAATATACAAACATGTTTGATATGCCCCAAATTAATGCTGAAGAATTTTATATAATGAGGGGTTTGGGATATTGGCAGTTTGGAGGGATATGTTGTGTATCTTTATACGTATATGCTTCTAAACTGTTGTATTCTGAGCACCTCTGCAAAAACAGTGATTATGTGTGAGTGTGGTGAAAGTGTTGAATGATGATGAAAGTATTTTCTTTTTGGGGATTTTCTTTCTTTTTTGGGTCACCCTGCCTCGGTGGGAGACGGCCGACTTGTTGAGAGAGAAAAAAAAAAAAAAAAATCATACAGACAGGCCCTGCTTTACAGTGTTTTGCTAATGCAGTGGTTTTCAATTATACCCATTCTTAATTTATTCAGACTTCCTACAATAAATATATTCATCACTCACTATAAGCTAAGGATAAAAATATTTTAAGGTAATGTATGTACTGAATAAGCATCTTTTTAGGCCTAACTCTATTGCTCACTTAATATATGATAGAGTAAACATGATATCAAGCTTTTACATACATCTGAAAGTGAAAAAACAAAAAAGAGGAGGGGGAAGCTATGTTTCATTTTACAGCAGTAGCCTGGAACCTAACCTGCTGTGTAAGCAGGGCCCACTTGTACATATATTGTACAGCACATTATATAACGTTCATGAGAGACACATGTTACACTTTACATCATGGTTACTAAAAGGGAAGCAACTGAGAAGTCTGGTAATGAATTTCACATTTTAAACAACACCCAATGCCTACTCTGGTTAAACAGATAACATTTGTTCTCATGTCCCTACATGTCTATCAGTAAAAACTGAAATTTCATATTAACCCTTTCAGGGTCAAAAGGCCAAATTTTAAAGTGTGCACTTGTGTCCAAGAATTTTCAAAAAATAATTTTGTTATTTTTTTGTATGAAATGGTAGAGAATCTTTTTCTGGAGGTAATAAAACAAAAAGTACAAAATTTGATGGAAAATTGACGAAATTATGCTCTCGCGAATTTTGATGTGTCAGCAATATTTACGCATCGGCAATTCTGCCAACTTTGAATCCCATTTTAGGCCAATTATGTTATTCTAGTTGACCAAATTCTTAGTTATTTCACTAGTATTACTTCTATTCTATCGATTGAGCACAAGAAATTGCCAAGTCAGCTGTTTCAACTACAAAATAAAGTGATCGGAAATTGGTAATTTGTCCAATTTAATGCAAAGTTCAAAATATTCTTATTTCAAAATAGGGTCCAGAATAAACAATGCAGGCATTCCTAGAACTAAACTAACATTTTCTCTGTTCATTAGTTATGTTTTCAGGCTTTACAAATGAATTCCATTTTGAATTTTTATTCACATAATGAATTTTTATTCAAACCAAAAAATAGAAGATTTACCGTTATGCAATACTGTAATAATTGTATAAATAATATCACCACATTTGTGAACATATATTAGACCCACCAGCTGGTGTGTATTAGATGTGTGGGATCATTTGTTTACTCTTGAACATCAGCAAAAGTTTAGCATTTCTGCTATTTTGAGCTCAGTTTCAACCCATTTCCATTACTAAAACCAATCAAAATCATCTCTATTTCTGTAATATATCTTCCATTCTATCAAATGAGACCAAGAAATCACAAATACAACTATAAAAAACATACAAAAAAACACTGCAAAGTCGCTGTTTTAATCGAAAATTACGGTTTCAGTTTTTTTTCTCCCATTATGCACTGTGTGCTGCAGGATCTGTTTTATGTGGTGCACACATATCACATAGATGCATTCTCTCATATTTAGGCCCAAATTTATCACTCACAGCTTATCAGAGTGAACTGAGCTCATGGCGTAGATCTACGGCACGGACCCTCGAAGAGTTAACGTAAATGAAACAGAATGTAACTGGACTCGTGTAATGTCATAAATGTAAATGAAACAGAATGTAACTGGACTCGTGTAATATCATTAATGTAAATGAAATAGAAGCTAATTTTACTCATGTAATATCAAACCAGTGACCCACTTCTCCAGTGACAATCATGCTAAACACTACCCTATGGGTATTTACGGTGATACAATCTTACTAAATTCTACAAGTTACAAATGACTCTGGATTGGGACCCCAATTTACATTTTTAAAATGCTACCAGACACCTAAAATCACATTCAGAGCTCTGTAAAACATTTAATTTGAGCATCAATCTGGAGCCTTTTACAACCAGGTGAATTCAATAATACTGTAGTTCTTGACTGCATGTCGATGTAATACCTGCAGTGTAGTGCTTAAGGTAACTGCACCTCCATGTAATGCCTGTAGTGTAGTGGTTAAGGTTACTGCATCTCCATGTAATACCTGAAGTTTAGTGTGGAAGGTAACATGCTTTCCCCATAACCACTAGGACAGGACTCTATATATGACATTCATTAGATCCACCACTGAGGTTCTAGCACAAGTACCACCTGATTGAACAAACAAACAAACTAGAGAAAATTCAGAGATCTGCAATGAGACAGATCCCAGAGTTGATAGAGCTGGCCTATGAGAAGCACCTAAAACAACTGAATGTGGTGAGATTGGTAACAGAGTTGTAGATGAGTGGAACAAACTGCCAAGTAATGTCACTGAAGCTAGAACCTTGTGTGGCTTTAAAAATAGGTTAGACAAGGACATGAGTGGGTGTGGGTTGGTGAGACTTAGACTTGCTGCCAGTAGACCTGCATCAATGCTCCTTCCTCCTTATGTGGGTGTGACTTAGACTTGCCTAGCATGGGCCAGCAGGCCTGCTGCAGAGCTCCATCTTATGCTCTTAAAAAAATAAAAAAAAATTTTTAGCTACACAAGCAGAGGGTTACAACCACTAGTAACTTAAAAACTTGCTTATTTTTAAAAAACTTGCCATCTACCACCAAGATAGTGACCCAAAGAAGGAGACACATTCATCACCATTCATTCAACAGATGTCTTGCCAAAGTGCCCAGACATCACATTTTGAATGACCCCTCTGAACTGCAACATCCTCACCCTCTAGATTAAATATGGAAGGCAGGACACTAGGAACATAGTTATGCTCCTGTAGCTACAAAAAGGTAATAATCTCATATGGTACTCCTACTTTCATTGTTATAAAAAAAAATTCCATACATAACTAAAGGCACTCCACTGTCATTTATACAAATGCAAATGTTTATTTCTCTGCAAAGAGTACAATGTAGCATTTACATATTATAAAATATTGGTTACAATGTGTGGTTTACATATTATAAAATACTAATAACAAAGAGGGCCACTATCATGCCTAGCATGACTAGGCATTTAGAGCAGACTAATAATAATTCTAACTATATTGATACAGGTTATGGAGTATATTGATATTAAAGCTAGGTAACTGCATTACAGTTTGTAAATTTAGCAATGAGAATGATTTTGTCGTGGCATGATACACAGTTTCTATTAAAGCTCCTATACTGGAGTATCTCAGGCAAACTTACGACTAGTTTAAGATTTGTTAGGCAATAGCTTTATTTGAAACTTTATGTTTACAGTCATTTGGGTGAGTGTAAGTGTAAACTGGGGGGGAATCACAGATATCAAGAGTAGGTCTAGTTTGTTTTTTATATGTGCATGATAAAAGTAAGAGAATAGGTGGTTTTCATGTAGATAGCTGATGGTGAGGTGTCAGGGAGGTAAGATGCTTTTTAAGGGTAATGTTGAAAGTGTTGGTTGTCTGCAGCTCTAGAGTTTTCAGGCAGGAAGTTTCAGATTTTAGGCCCCTTAATGTACACTGAATTTTTGTATAGGTTTAGCCGGACATGGGGAATGTCATAGCGATTTTTGTGCCTGGTGTTGTGCCTGTGGGTCCTGTCACAACTATCAAGAAAGTGTTTTAGTTCAGGGTTAATATTGGAATTTATGGTTTTGTAAATGTAGGTTGCACAGTGCTAAGGTGGATGCTCTGTACAGTGAGGAAGTTTAGACCTTTGAAGTGGGGGAGGGGGGGGGGGTGCTGCCTAGTATTGGATTGCATGATAATTCTTACTGTAGCTTTCTGTTGGGTTATTATTGGCTTTAGGTATGTTGCTGCTGTTGATCCCCAAGCACAAATAGCATAGGTGAGGTAAGGATAAATGAATGAATAGTAGAGTGTGAGAAGGGCTGATTGTGGCATGTAGTAGTGTATCTTGGAGAGGATCCCAACCGTTTTGGATATTTTTTTTGCTTATGTGTTGGATATGGGTTCTAAATTTCAGGTTGCTGTCGAGGTGTAGGCCCAGGAATTTCCCCTCACTGTGTATAGCAATAAGAGTGTTGTCAATCTTAATGTTCAGTTGTGCAAAGCCTGTTGTTACCAAACATGATATAGAAGGTTTTGTCAGTGTTGAGTGTAAGATTATGAGCTGTCATCCAAGTAGATATTTTTAGTAGCACCTCGTTAACAATGGTGTTGAGTGTGGCAAGATTTGGGTAGGAGATGACACAAGTTGTGTCATCAGCAAAGAGAACTGGTTTCAGGTGTTGTGTTATGTTGGAAAGAAGATCACTGATGTATAAGAGGAAGAGCAGGAGACCAAGAAAACTTCCCTGGGGCACTCCAGTATCAAGTGGTCGTGTTGATGAAGTTGTGTCTTTAATGGTGACGTACTGATACCTATTAGTAAGGTAGGATTTGAAATATGCAAGTGCATGGCCTCTTATACAATAATGGTCAAGTTTGTGGAGTAGGATGCCATGGTCTACTGTGTCAAAAGCTTTCCTTATGACAATAAAAAGTACTAATGAATATTCCTTATTTTCCAGTGCTGTGTAAAGGAGATCTAACATTTTTACAATTGCTTTTATTTTTTCGGAAGCCAAACTGGCAGGGGTTGAGTATGCTTTGTGCTGTTATAAACAAATATAATCTCTTGTGCACAAGTTTCTCAAAGATTTTGGATAGCAATGGTATGATATTGGCCTATAGTTGTTTACATCTGTGAGGTCACCACCTTTCTGTACTGGTGTAACCCTTGTCGTCTTGAGTAGTGTCAGGAAAGTGCTAGTTTCTAATGATTTGTTAAAAAGTAATGAAATAGCCTGCAAAAGGACATGGGCCACTCACTTGTACAATAGTGGTGAGACTTGTGACAGATTCCTTGATTTATTTTTAAGTGACTTGATAATCATGGTGACTTCAGTGGGCTCAGTAGGTGCAAGATAGGAGGGGGTTGGGAAATTCCCATCTAAGTAATCAGTTGCTCGGGAATTTGTACCTGGGATTTTACTGGCAAGATTTGATCCTATGGTTGAGAAGAAGTCATTTATCTTGTTAACTGTATCAATAGGCAGTAGTGTTTTGTTCGGTTTAATTAGAACAATATCCCTAGTTTTTTTCAGTTTGTGGGTGCCCAGAATCTGAGAGAGTGCTTTCCAGGTCTTTTTTTTTATATCTCCTCTTGTTTCAGTGAATCTGCTGTAGTACAATTGTTTGGCTTTTTTATTATTTTGGTGAGAACTGATGCATAGTGTTAAATAATATCTCTGTGTATTAGGCCCTGTCTATATTGCTTTTCATATTGATGTTTCTTATCAATGGATCTTAGTACAGTGGAACCTCGCCTAACGAACGCATCGCATAACGTTAAATCCGCTTAGTGATACATTTTACCGCAAAAATTTTGCCTCTGCTAGCGCTAAAAAACTCGCTCAATGCGGTTCGTTCGAGACGCGTCCACGTGCGGCCTGAGCCCGCCTCACTTGTTCCTTGGGTGCCAGTGTTTACAAGCCAGCCACCGCGGTCGCTTCCAAGCATACAATCGGAACATTTCATATTATCACAGCCTTTTTAGTGATTGCACCTGCAAAATAAGTCACCATGGGCCCCAAGAAAGCTTCCAGTGCCAACCCTACAGCAAAAAGAGTGAGAATTACTATGGATATGAAGAAAGAGATCATTGCTAAGTATGAAAGTGGAGTGCGTGTCTCCAAGCTGGCCTGGTTGTACACAAAACCCCAATCAACCATCGCTACTATTGTGGCCAAGAAAACGGCAATCAAGGAAGCTGTTCTTGCCAAAGGTGCAACTTTGTTTTCGAAACAGAGATCGCAAGTGATAGAAGATGTTGAGAGACTGTTATTGGTGTGGATAAATGAAAAACAGATAGCAGGAGATAGCATCTCTCAAACGATCATATGTGAAAAGGCTAGGAAGTTGCATGACGATTTAATTAGAAAAATGCCTGCAACTAGTGATGATGTGAGTGAATTTAAGGCCAGCAAAGGTTGGTTTGAGAGATTTAAGAATCGTAGTGGCATACATAGTGTGATAAGGCATGGTGAGGCTGCCAGTTCAGACCACAAAGCGGCTGAAAAATATGTGCAGGAATTCAAGGAGTACATAGACAGTGAAGGACTGAAACCTGAACAAGTGTTTAATTGTGACGAAACAGGCCTGTTTTGGAAGAAAATGCCAAACAGGACGTACATTACTCAGGAGGAAAAGGCACTCCCAGGACATAAGTCTATGAAAGACAGGCTTACTCTGTTGATGTGTGCCAATGCTAGTGGTGATTGCAAAGTGAAGCCTTTATTGGTGTATCACTCTGAAACTCCCAGTGTGTTCAGGAAAAACAATGTCCTCAAGGCTAATTTGTGTGTGCTGTGGAGGGCAAACAGTAAGGTATGGGTCACTAGGGACTTTTTCTATGACTGGTTACACCATGCATTTGCCCCCAATGTGAAAAATGACCTAACTGAAAAGAAATTAGTCCTTAAGTGCCTCCTGGTATTAGACAATGCTCCTGGTCATCCTTCAGACGTGGCAGAGCGACTTTCTGCGGAAATGAGCATCGTTAAGGTCAAATTTTTGCCTCCTGATACCACTCCTCTCCTGCAGCCCATGGACCAGCAGGTCATTTCCAACTTCAAGAAACTGTACCCAAAAGCTATGTTTGAAAGGTGCTTTGTAGTGACCTCAGAAACTCAAGTGACTCTACGAGAGTTTTGGAGAGATCACTTTAGCATCCTCAATTGTGTAAACATTATAGGTAAGGCTTGGGAGGAAGTGACTAAGAGGACCTTGAACTCTGCTTGGAAGAAACTGTGGCCAGAATGTGTAGACAAAAGGGATTTTGAAGGGTTTGAGGCTAACCCTGGGAATCCTATGCCACTTGAGGAATCCATTGTGGCATTGGGGAAGTCCTTGGGGTTGGAGGTTAGTGGGGAGGATGTGGAAGAGTTGGTGGAGGAGGACAATGAAGAACTAACCACTGATGAGCTGCTAGATCATCTTCAACAGCAAGAGGCCACACCTGAGGAAACTGCTTCGGAGGAGGGGATAGAGAAATTGAGGAAGTTGCCTACTTCAAAGATTAAGGAAATGTGTGCAATGTGGCTTAAAGTGCAAACCTTTTTTGATGAAAATCACCCTCACACAGCTATTGCAAACCATGTTGGCAACCTGTACACTGACAATGTTGTGAAACACTTTAGGAGCGTCATAAAGGAACGGGAGGTACAGGCCTCTATGGACAGATATGTTGTGCGACAGAGGTCCAGTGACTCTCAAGCTGGTCCTAGTGGCATTAAAAGAAGAAGGGAAGTAATCCCGGAAAAGGACTTGCCACCTCAAGTCCTAATGGAAGAGGATTCCCCTTCTAAACACTAACACCATCAACACTCTCCCCTCCTCCCATCCCATCAATCATCACCAGATCTTCAATAAAGGTAAGCGTTATGTAACTGTGCATGTCTTCTTCAGTTTGTGTGTATTAAAATTAATATTTCATGTGGTAAAAAATTTGTTTTGTTCATACTTTGGGGTGTCAGGAACGGATTAATTTGATTTCCATTATTTCTTATGGGGAAAATTAATTCGCCTAACGATAATTTCGCCTAACATTGAGCTCTCAGGAACGGATTAATAGCGTTAGGCGAGGGTCCACTGTATGCTGTTAGTTAGCCATGGGCAACTGAGCCATTTAATCGTAATCTATTTCATTTTTTAAGGACACTGTTTGTTGTATAGTCTAAGTAAATTATTAAGAAATATGTCTGTCCAATCATCTATACCACTAGCATTGGAGAATTCTGTAGGCCACTCAACCGTCTCTAGCTCTGCTGTGAAGTTACTTATTGAGGCCTCATCATGGAGTCTAAATGAAACTTTGTTGTATTACAGTGGAGGTTTATTAATGTTTGTTAAGAGGAAGGTGGGGAAGTGGTCAGTAGTACTGTCTGTGATTATCCCTGATTTAAGGGGGGCTAGTATATTGGTCCATATATTATGCCATACACTCCTACTTTTATACTTAAGCCTTATGAAATAATTATTCTCTCACTTGGCTCAAATGCCCTAAACATTCACTTAGCACCTTGTAGAATCTCTCTTTCTCTCTTAAACACACTTCTCATTTCCAGGAACACAAACACTGAGAATTACAAATTTTTTTGCACCTTCACCCATACCATTCTTAAACTAAAACATTGTTCTTTCAACAGTAGCATCACACACTTGTGACTGCACCTCCTTATTTTCCAACAATCTATCTTCAAAATTTAATTTCATATCTTTTAGGTTATTACCTGCAGTAGAATGAGTGTACTGGGAAAGGAAGTGAGTTGTGAACAGATACACAGATATTATATTTTGACAATGCATATAATAAGGCTTACCTGCATAAGGATAAGTGATGATTATGAAGGTCAGTAGTGAATGTACAATTGAGAAAGTGACAGACAGTTGTTCTAAAACCACACTAGTAAGACTCAGAGTACCTGGAGAAAGATAAAAGCATTGTTGTTGTGCTAGTTGTGCTTTATATAAAGAAATACAGGCTCTCTTTTTTACAGTGGTTTGACTTATGTTATTTTAACTTTACAATGGTGCAAAAGCAATTATGTACTTAGGAGATGAAACTTAACACAATTACTCAGCATGAGAGCAAAAAGTCCATAACTTTTGTACATTTTTTTTATTTTTCAGTAATGGTATATAGTTAGTTACAGCAATTATTTGTTTATTTACTTATTCAGCAAAAGTAGTTACTTATTTTTTTAGCATATCATATTAATTTTAAAGTTGAGAAACACCTGTATAAGAGTACAGCCTCTTCTCACTTAGCGTCATACTCATTTACCAACGACTCAGACTTACGAAGGGTTCTCTGACCAGTATGCATATCTAAGTAATGTACATCAGAGCTGATTCCTCTATTCTGGTTATCACAATATACAGTACTACACTACTGCATAAACATTTAACCCTTTGACTGTTGAGACCTCAAATCCTGAAGTGTCTCTGTGTTGCAAAATATTCGAAAAAAAAAAAAAAATCTTATGAAATGAGAGAGAATCTTTTCCCGATGGTAATGACACCAAAAATACAAAATTTGATGGAAAACTTACGGGATTACACTCTCGTGAAGTTAGCGATCTCGGCAATACATACGCATCGGCGATTTCACCCACTTTGATCCCTATTTTCTGCCAATTCCATTGTTCCATTTGAACAAACTCATAGCTACTTCTTTAGAACTCCATTTGTTCTATCAAGTACAAAAAACCACCCATTTACCAATTTCAACTATCCAATAAAGTGGTCAGAAATTGGCAATTTCAAGCAAATTAAAAAAGATGCCAATTTCAAAATAGAGTCCAGAATAAACAATGCAAATATTCCTGGCACTAAAATAACATTTTCTCTGTTCATTAGTTACATCTCCAAGCCCCTCTTGTATTACTCTTACTTTCTATTTTGAATTTTTATTCACACAAAAAATAGAAGATTTACTGTAATGAAGACTACTGTATTATTGTAATAATTGTATAAATAATGTCAAACCATTCATGACTGCGTATTAGAATGGCTAGTTGGACACTTATTCCAATAAGTGAAGTCATTTGTTTACTCTCAAACATCAGCAAAAATCAAACATTTCTGCTACTTTGAGCTCAATTTGAAGGTCCTTTTCATCGTGAAGCCAATCAAAATCATCTCTATTTCTGTAATACGTTGTACGTTCTATCAATTGAGACCAAGACAACGAGAATACAACCATAAATACTATACGAAAATACACCTCAAAGTCGGTGTTTTAATCCAACAACACGGTTGGAGTTTTTTTTCTCATTATGTACTGCGTGCTGCAGGATTTTTTTTATACTGCACACACTGACCACACAGACCCATTCTCTCACATGTGGGCCTACCAGCTTTCTCCCACTTGACTTGAAGCCGCTAGAATTTTGTCGTATTAATACGTCACCGACACTGGCTTGTAAGACGTATATACACAACACCGACAGTCAAAGGGTTAAAAATACACCAGAAATACTATAAATGATGCGAGGGTGACATTAAAACAACATCAAGGATGACTGACACAAACCCACTACCATTATAGTATGCTCCTTACTTAGTGACAAATTTGTTTACTGACAAGGTCTTAGGAATGGAACTCCGTCGTTAAGTGAGGAGAGGCTGTACAGTGGTACCTCGGGATACGAAGTTGAACAATTAGGCAAGTGTATTTTTGGGGGTCTGAAACAGATTAATGTACTTTACATTATTCCTCATGGGAACAAATTTGTTCAGTACTCGAACAGATCCGCACTTGAGCAGCCTTCTGGAACGAATTAGGTTCGTATCCCAAGGTACCACTGTATACTGGATTTGCTATTCTGTTTAACCCTTTCAGGGTCCATCCCATAGATCTACGGCTTTACGTTCAGGGTCCAAACCGTAGATCTACGCCATGAGCTCAGCTCACTCTGATAAACTGTGAGTGGTAAATTTGGGCCTAGATATGAGAGAATAGTTTTACCAACGCTCTTATATGGGTGTAAAGCATGGGTGATGAATGTAGCAGCGAGAAGGCTGGAGGCAGTGGAGATGTCATGTCTCAGGGCAATGTGTGGTGTGAATATAATGCAAAGAATTCATAGTTTGGAAGTTAGGAGGAGGTGCGGGATTACCAAAACTGTTGTCCAGAGGGCTGAGGAAGGGTTGTTGAGGTGGTTCGGACGTGTAGAGAGAATGGAGCGAAACAGAGACTTCAAGAGTGTATCAGTCTGTAGTGGAAGGAAGGCGGGGTAGGGGTCGGCCTAGGAAAGGTTGGAGGGAGGGGGTAAAGGAGGTTTTGTGTGCGAGGGGCTTGGACTTCCAGCAGGCATGTGTGAGCGTGTTTGATAGGAGTGAATGGAGACAAATGGTTTTTAATACTTGACGTGCTGTTGGAGTGTGAGCAAAGTAACATTTATGAAGGGGTTCAGGGAAACCGGCAGGCCGGACTCGAGTCCTGGAGATGGGAAGTACAGTGCCTGCACTCTGAAGGAGGGGTGTTAATGTTGCAGTTTAAAAACTGTAGTGTAAAGCACCCTTCTGGCAAGACAGTGATGGAGTGAATGATGGTGAAAGTTTTTCTTTTTCGGGCCACCCTGCCTTGGTGGGAATCGGCCAGCGTGATAATAAAAAAAATATGAGAGAATACATCTATGTGGTATGTGTGCACCACATAAAACAAATCCTGCAGCACACTGTGTATAATGAGAGAAAAAAAACAGAGACCGTGATTTTCAATTAAAACAGCGACTTTGCAGTGCTTTTTCGTATGTTTTTTTATAGTTGTATTTGCGATTTTTTGGTCTCATTTGATAGAATGGAAGACATATTACAGAAATAGAGATGATTTTGATTGGTTTTAGCACTGGAAATGGCTTGAAACTGAGCTCAAAGTAGTGGAAATGTTAAATTTTTGCCAATGTTCAAGAGTAAACAAATGACCTCACACGTCTAATACACGCCAGCTGGTGGGTCTAATATACATTCACAAATGTGGTGATGATATTTATACAATTATTACAATATTGCATAACAGCAAATCTTCTATTTTTTGGTGTGAATAAAAATTCATTATGTGAATAAAAAATCAAAATGGAATTTACTTGTAAAGCCTCAAAACATAACTAATGAACAGAGGAAATGTTAGTTTAGTGCCAGGAATACCTACATTGTTTATTCTGGACCCTATTTTGAAATTGGAATATTTTGAACTGTGTTAAATTGGCCAAATTACCAATTTCCGATCACTTTATTTTGTAGCTGAAACAGTTGACTTGGCGATTTCTTGTGCTCAATCGATAGAATAGAAGTAATACTAGTGAAATAGCTAAGAATTTGGTCGACTGGAATAATGTAATTGGCCTAAAATGGGAGTCAAAGTCGGCAAAATCGCCGATTCGTAAATATCGTTGACACATCAAAATTCGCGAGAGCATAATTTCGTCAATTTTCCATCAAATTTCGTACTTTTTGTTTTATTACCTTCATAAGAAAAAAAAAACAAAAAATTAAATTCTTGGACACTGGGGCACCACTTCAGATTTTGGCCTTGGACCCTGAAAGGGTTAAGCTACAAAGTTCCTCCTTCCATTATGTACCTTTTGTACATCTCTTATCTTTACTTAACAAGTTTTTTGTTGACAGACCACCACTTACCCGAGGATGAGCGTGCCAGATCCTGTGTAATATTAACCAAGAGCGGTGCTACAAGAGACCGCAATGAGGAGGCTGCCAAGTATGCCTGAAACTCGGTGCTTGCTTGCAAAACCTCAGTTATGGCTTCCCAAAGCTCGCGTAGTCCAGTATATTTACCTGCCAGTATTTCACTGTTCATTTTCTGAAAGATTAAAACAATTATTGCATATTTTAAGTAAAAGGACACAAGTGCAACTAATGTGACATTTTTATTGTGGCAACGTTTCGCTCTCCAGCTTTGTCAAGTTGTTACATAACGGCTTGACAAAGCTCCTGGAGAGCGAAATGTTGCCACAATAAAAATGTCACATTAGTTGCACTTGTGTCCTTTTACTTTACATATTGACGGTAATTCTACCAACTTTATTACAATTATTGCATATTCAATATACAAATTCTTATTTCTATAGTGTTTTTGTGTACTTGAGGAATCTGATCACTGTTTATCTAAGTGTAACTGAAAAAAGTTTTCCACTGTCACATACCTTTATAATGTCCTCATCTGACTCATCTGTGGAGGATTTTTGAGTGGAACTTTGTGGAGACCCATTGATGGCTGATATTTTCTTTGAGCCACTCTCAGCTTCTTTTATGGTGTCTATTGAAGTGGACTGGCTATTAGAGAGCTGAGGAGACTCTGCAGTCATGCCTGCATTTGGAATCTCACTGTCTTTGTCTCCGTCATTATCATCAAAACTGGACTTGCAGGTGGAAGGCTGAAAAGAACCCGCAGTGTCCAGTGATTCCTCCATGTTAATTTCCATCGACGTGCTCATAGGAGGCTGTGGAGAATACCCATTATCTACCGGGACTTCCTCAGCGCTCTTTCCATCTGCTTTACCCATCTTTGAAGCCTCCATAAATTTATACTTATTAATAGAAGCTTGGAGAGGTTGTGTATCTTGCATCACTTTCCCTGTACCATTATCCAATTCTTGCACAGCATCTGGATATTTACATTTTCTTTCTTCACATTTCTTCAGTTCTTCAGGTGCCATGAAATTTTCTTCCACATACCTACTACTATGTTCCTGTTCAATATTACCTTGACTCTTCTTAGTTTTATTATTTGAATTTTCTTTGTGGTGTTGCATATCAGCATCTAAATGAAAGCAAGTGTGAATGAAGAATCTTCGTCTCACTTCTTCGGCTTTCTTTCCGAAATATGCTGACCAAAATTCATCATGTTCAATAACTTCCTGTTCAAACATTTTGGTGAAAATAGAGTCGCTCTCCTCTTCTGCACCTGAGAGGCAGAGTAGCCCAGGTTTGGCTTGAAGTTCTTTCTTCACAACATGACATAATAAGGAAAAGGCTTCATGTCTTAAACCAGGGATTTCTTTACATGCATAAATAAGACCTGAGCCATAACACTGAAGAAATTTGATTAATTTTGGATCATTAGATTCTGCCAAGGTTAGTCTATAACATTTAATTAGACCAACCAGGACCTCCTTTTCATGCTTAGTATCAGCTAGGTAATAACTAATGCCTTGATCACAAATCTGTTTCAAGACAGGAATAATCAGATACTCACACATTTCTAACTTGATCTCAGTGCTGCTCTGTGAAACAAGTCTGATAATATGACTCACAATTTTTGAGGAGATGCTTGTGTGAAAGAGAAAATTTTTGTATAAAGAAACTCCTTCCCATTGAGACAGAGAAGCACCATTTAGATCTTGTGTTTCTTTATGATAATTTTTTAACTGACTGTGACAGCTTTTACCTTTCGTACCAAAGGATAATGAAAATGATTCCTCAGTAGTGTACTCGGCACAAAGTGGGTTTATGCCAGTCTCCATGGGCTCTGGCATCTGACAGACAGCACATCTAACAGTATCTGACATCATTAAGCCACTTAGATCACTCCATACAATATTTTCTACATATAACGTGATGTACGAAACTACGTATGGCAATTTGCAAAACCGCTTTTGTAAGAGTTTACTCAATACCTTTCTAGTGCTCATGCAGCAGCAAAGACCACATTTTGAAAGGGCTTTGATTGCACAAACATAAATATCAAATTCTTGACTGCCAGCAAAGCAATCAAGCAATATGCATACAAAATTGGAAACCATACACGCACTGGGATCGTTTGGATTTAAACCTCCTTCGCTTGTTCCCAACACTTGTGAATGGTGATTTTGCACTGCCTGATACTCACAAAATCGGTGATTTTTTTTGTCACACTTCTCAAAGTGGTAAATATCTTCACGCCAGCATTTCATGTACAGCACCAGTTTGCTAAGAGAATAAAGGATTTCGGATCGCTTACTGACAGGTAAAAGCGAGCTCAAAAATACAACTTTCTTTGTAATTTCTGGCCCTTTGTTTTGAAGGAAAATTTTGTGAAGGTGGAGGCACTGCCACACATCTTTCCATTCAACTCTCAAGCAAGTACAACTCTGGAGCATGAAGAGCAACCCAACAACAATCTCATGAGCCAAAGTAGCTCTTGTTGTATTAAGTGAATTTACTTCATCTTTGGTTAATTTTATTCCATAATCCACGTTTTCAAGTAAGGTTTCATGTTCATTTCTGAAATCCAGTAAAACAGTTACTAGGTTTAGTAATTTGGGTACAACACAGAGCTCTGTTACTGTAAGTAACAATTCACTGGATTTTAGAAACCTTTGTACTGATGAAAACATCAGTTTCAACATTCCCATTAACAATAGCTGCATATCTGCGGACTCGTCGTTTTTTGATTCCATATGCTTTAATTCAAACACCATGTTAGAGAATGCATCGAGAGAAAACTGGAGAATATCATGAGTGGCAAGTAGTGGCGAGGACAGATGCTTTATTTCTGCCTCGTGCACTGTTATTTGTGTCTGTATCGATAGAATACACTGAAGAAGCTCGACAAGAGACAAGCAAAGTAGGTTCTCGTGTAGACAGATTCTTTCAATTGAACTACTTGTCTGATCAGTCTCTGTTTCATGGCATTTATCATCATCGCTGTACACAGCTCGTGTAAAATAATCAAAGTCATTGGGGTTCATCGTAAATTTTACAAGGGCCTTACTGAGTTTAACATTCTTGTGAGTATCTTCTCCCTCTGAATCTGAACGCACCATGGGAACACAAGCAGAGTATCGTTTCCGACGTTTCTTTCCCAGCTTCTTTCCGCTCTGACAGCTTGACAAGCTACTACTTTTTGAACCAGATGTGTGCATCCACATCTGAGGAACGGAAGAATTGCTACCTCTTGTACCAAGGCTACTTCTGGCATAGGCTGAGTGAATATTGGCAGCAAATATATCATTCAAGCACAGACTTATGGATGGTTCATATCTAAAGCATGACTGGCTGTGAGGTTGACCTTCTGGATGAAAATCTAGGAAGGAATTCCTTGTACCATCATTCTGCCCTGTTTGACCTCCCATAGCTAATTTCTCCTGAAATCCCTGTTTACATTTCTTTTGAGAATAAACAGATTTTGGGACTTCATCAGATGAAGCATTCTTCAGTAAAAAAGTAAAGATGAAAGCTAGCACATGGCTTATTTCTCTTCCTCCTGTCAAACCCTGAAACAATAATAATTATAATGTATATTATTAACATTATATTCATTGAGAAAGTGCTAAAGATACAGGGTCATACAGTGCCCGGGGGAATGGGAGGCAATAAGGTTTGATCCAATGATAGTGTAAATTCCTTGGCTCAGACTCTACCACTTAAATCAAGATGCCCCCCCCCCCCCTTGAAGGAACGGCAATGCATAAATGTAACACTTTCTACTATTGTCTATGTACTGTATATTCATGGAGAAGTTCTAAACCCAGAAGGGTCATACAGTAAATAATAAAGACACACAATACCGTGACTGGAACAATACACAAATAACCTGCAAGTAGGAGAAAGAAACTTATGATGTCATCTGAGTCCAATTTGAAACATTAACTAGTCAATGGTTCAAATCAGAGTGAAACATCATAAATTTTGTTCTCCTTTGTGTGGGTTATTTATCTATAGGGTTATACAGTACCTGGGGAATGAGAGGGGGTGGGAAATAACCAGGTTTAATGCAATAGGATGGTAGCTCCAATTCCCTGGATCACCTTCAGGACTCAAGTCTGGCTAACTGGTTTCCTTGAATCCCTTCACATACATTACCTTGCTTACACTAACAGTATGTCAAACTTATCAAGTTATAAAACCCACTTGTCTCCACTCACCCTAATACATTCACACAAGAACGCTAAATGCTTAAGCCCCTAGCACTCTTTAACCCTTCTCTACAACTCTCCCACATACAACCCCTCTCCCTCTATCTTTCAACCCCATATTTATACATCCTTCTGGTCATCTTATCCTGCTCTATCCTCCTTAAATGTCTAAACCACATCACCAACCCTTCAGCAATATAAACAGATAAAACTCCACTAATAAATCATATATCACATAAGAATTTATATTAACAATTATGCATCAGTGGAAAACAAACAGTGAATGCCAAGAAACTCAAGAACTTACTGCTACTCCCAGTTTATCAAGTGCTACTAGTATCTTTGCTCCACATCCATGAAGGAGATACTGCTTCAAGGCAACTGCATTCTGTGCCTCGTTTCCCTGATTAGGTTCCTGCACTGCGCTATTTAATGATGCCATGGGTGCTTCTGCACTGTTTACAGAACTTGCGGACAATTGCGTACATCTTTGTAAGTAGGGTTTATGGACTAAAAATGAAGACTCGGCTATACTATGTGTTTCAGTACTGTCAGTTACTCTTACTCCTAACACAGATTCTGGTTTCGCTGAAGAAAATTCATTTATATCTACCGCACCACCATCAACTTTCAAAACTGATCTTTGATTATAAGTATCCTGAGGTTTGTCTTGGGTTTCCTGACTGACAGAATCCTTCTGACACTTTTTACTATCAAAATCTTTCAAGCATTCTAATTCATCTTCTTTACCATTTTCCACTAATACAGCACTTGAATTTTTGTGTTTCTCACTATTTGTGCATTCCAAGCGTTCATCCAAGATTACATTAGGCTCTTTGGGTTGGTCCAGATTGACTTGTAATAGTTCTGAATGACATTTATCATTATCACTCTCCTGCAATACCTGACACAGTCCTATTGTATTCCTGTAAGAATGATTTCTTCCACTGGTTAATTTTTTTGTCACTCTTGGACGGCATCCTCTCGAACCATCGCTCACTTGAGAAGTATCACTGATAATGGATTCCACTGACTGAGATGTTGCACTTGAGGAAGCATCGCTATCATAACTTACTGAACCAAGGCAAATGTGTTCAATATCTGCCAAGAACTGTCCACCAAGGAGACTCACTACACTTCCAACATCACTGCAGAGAGAGAATGAAAAACTCATTATATATCAAAGGAACAATAAGAATGGAACACTGTACACTGTGGAAAAAGACACATGCACAGTTCAGGACACAGGCAGTGTTGCAAGTGATAAAGTTAACAATCAATATACAACTAAACCTGGATGGAAATAATTATAAAAACAAGGTGTTTTTAACCACTTCAGTCTTATGATGACCCACTCAATAGCTAAGCAATGGCCAGCTTACTGTTGCTAAAGAAACATCCTGTTTATAAAAATCAGTGGATCATATTGTATCCTATACACTTCCCAGTGAATAGTATTGTATTGGGAAAAAGGGGCTTTAGGGACTTGAACCTGCACCATACAGATTAAAGTAAATGTACAGTACCTGGGGAAAGCCTGATTGTGAGATTAAAACATCTGTCTGACCACTGATGAATTGGAGATTGAGCAATCAACCTCCTCTTTTTTATTGCACTGAGTGACTCATTTTTTTTTTATTTTACCACACTGGCTATCTCCCACCAAAGTAGAGTGGCCCAAAAATGAAAACATTTCACCATCATTCATTCAACAGCTGTCCTACCACAAGTGTGAAGATGTCACAATTCAAATGGCCCTCAAAGCTGCTTCATGTAAAAAATTAAAAAAATGTACAGTACATGTACCTGAAGTGAAGAAGGTTGGAGAGGGGAGTCTCCTCCTTGGCTGATGACAGCAGTAGCCCCAAAAATTCATCCAGATGGCTCTGACGCTCCTGCAAGCAACAATCTTAATTAAATATCCTTTGTTTCCTAACAAAAATGACTGAATAAATTGAATATCATTTATACATGTACATGATACTTTATATACTGTACACAAATAATCTGCTTGTTATTTGTGTACTGTTCCAGACTGTTTGACTGCCTCCCAGCATACACAAGGGAGATTACAAATAGACCCCTGACTGTCTTCAAGAAGGCGTTGAACAGGCACCTAAAGTCGGTACCTGACCAGCAGGGCTGTGGTTCATACATCAGTTTGCATGCAGCCAGCAGTAACAGCCTGGTTGATCAGGCCCTGATCCATCAAGAGGCCTGGTCACAGATCAGGCCATGGGGGCATTGATCCCCGAAACCTTCTCCAACTATACTCCAGGTCATAGTATTGTGCCTTCTTGTTCTTTATGTGTATACCGAGTATCATTTTGAAAATTAACATATTTAAAAAAAATTGAAACACAAATACGTATGCATTTCATTGTCTGTAAAGGAACTAAAGTGCTATGTTTTGTGTGTCTGTCTATGTCAGATATGAGAATAAGAAACAATTAGGGCAGGACTGTGGCTGAAGGAACAGGTTTTTCACAGTGGCGACTTCTGATTTTACTTTGTTCACTATTACTCAATGGGTTCTATTTGCTGGGAAGCTAAATACACATCTGCCCACTTTGTAGGCATTCCTTCTTTAAGAATTTTGTGCACCATTACACCACGGTTATGCTTGTTAAAGGCTTTGGCAAAATTAGTGTCCACTATATCTGTAATTTACCTTCCACTATATCCAAGACCAAATTATAATGGTCCAGCAATTGTGAGAGGCATGAGAAACCCATTTTTAAATGAGAGATGCAAATGCTGTGTATCTTTGCGTTTAGCAATCTTAACTGTTACAAGAGATATGGATACAAGAAATTATGATCATTCTATGTAAAAATGTCTTGTAATAATTGTTTTTTTTTTTTGCATAAAATCATTATTGTACTTAATTTCTTACAACCATATTTTTTGTAACAATAAAGAGTTATTACAAGGGTTCTAACTTTAACCCTTTCATTGTTGTGACACCAAAAATTGTCCAGTGTTAATATTTTAGAAAATATCTTCTAAGGTGGTACAGAATCTCTTTTTTCAAGGTAATGGCACAAAAAATACAGAATATGATGTAAAATTTACAGAATTATACAGGTGCGAAGTTGAAGGCCGGGAGCCCTTTATGCAACTGCGAGTTTTGCCCAATCTCCGGCCTATTTTAGGCCAATTCCAGGGTTCAAACTTACCCAATTCCTGCACTATCGACTGAGTGAAAGGAGCTGCCCATTCAGAACTACCTTATAAATTACCTAAGTCATTAATTAAGCCAATTTTACATAAAATTCAACTCCAGTAATTCTAATTTCAAAACAGAGTTCACAACAAACACTCTAGACATTCCAACCACTAAAGCAACCTTTTCCTTGTTCAGTAATTGCATCCCCAGACTTCTCCTGTATAACACTTGCCCTGTATATCAATGGTATTCAATACCAGCAGGATTATGAATCAGATGGAAACAGTGATCATCTTCGTATGCTGAAGTAATGAAGAAAGATGAAAAGAAGTACATAGTTCAATTTGCCAAGTACTTTGAGCTATAAGGCCATTCACTGCTTTTAACCAAAGCAAAAAAGTTAAATGTAACTATATACATACACTAATACTGGTCAACTATAATGACAGAACATTATAAAAAAAAAAAAAAAAATTCAAATCAGCAAACACATAGCAAATAAATAAATACTCTCGCACACAGCTAAAATAACCTATATCAACTAAAAAACATGATACATTAAAGAATGTCATGGCATCAACTCACCACAACATTCCCTGGTTCTGTCTGAGCAAAGGAGGTCCGGGTTCCTGCAGTTTTGATCATATTTTTTTTTCTATACAGGTTGCAACCAAATTTAAAAAAATTAAATTGTGTGGTTTTTAAAAACCTAAAGGTTTACCCACCGGGATACCAAAAAAAATATGTTATCGGGCTGTCTAACTTTTTTCCCACGGGGGTCCTTAATCTTGTCCCCCCGGGAGCAACCCAACCAGTCAACAACACCCCAAAACCCCAGCTAATAAGTTACTGCAAAAACCCACAAAAAATTTTTTTTAGTCGAATTCACATCGAAGTATTTTTTAAAACTTCCCGGAACTAAAAGATCTTGATAAAATAAAACAATATGTGCATCGATAAGTTCTTTTTTGTCATAAATGCTATTGTATAATACAGATCTCCTCACTTAACGTGGAGTTCATTCCTAAACCATGTCGGAAAACGATTTTTTGCTAAGTGAGGAGATTTTTAAAATGGTAGGGGGTTTGTGTAAACCATCATTGTATTTTTTTAAATGTCACTGGTTGTTTTTTTTATGTTTATACAGTAGTGTCGCATTTTTTTTTAATACAGTGGTACTGGGTTTACGAACTTAATCTTCCAGAAGGCTGTTCAAGGTGAACTGAACGAATTTTTTTCCCTTAGGAATTTTGAAAATTTTAAAATTAGTCCTTTTCAGCCCCCCAAAAATCATTAAAATAACGTTCGAGGGGGGAGCTTTTAAATTGAGGAAACATGTAAAGGGTTTTTTGGATTAATTCGTTCAAAAGTCTGAGAAAACCAAATTGTAAAAAAACTGAAGCATTTTCTCAAAAAAATATAAATCCTTAAAATTGTTCCAGACACCCAAAAAATTAACAAAAAATACATTTTTTTTTTGAGTATAGAAAAACCCTATGTTTTACATACAGAAAAAAATAGAAAAAATAAAAATGCAAAATGAAATAGATAAATGAATTTAAAAAAACACTTTTACCTTCATTGAAGACTTTTGTTGCCTTTGGGAAGACGGCAAGGAGGGAGGGGGGAGATTTTAATGTTTGGAAGGGAAATCCCCTCCATAAGGTTAAAATTAAAGCCCCATTGGGGTTATTCTCTTCTTTGTCTTTTGGGACCATTTTCCCTTTTGGCAAATTATCCCCCCACAACACTATCTCCTGCTAATGTTTTTTGTTGACCCACACAAAAAACAACTTCTCGACATCTTCGATGTTTGCACCTCTGTTTCATTTGACTTACCCCTTTTCGCAAATCGTTCCTTGATTTCTTTTTTTTTTCCCAGGGGAATGATCGTTGATGTGGGATTCCTGAAACCGGGCGAGATGGGGGCCACACGTATGCCATTTTCGTACTTTGCAGATTTCTTTCTTGAAAAATTTTGTGTTTCCTGCCTTTTTTTATAAAAAAGGGGATGGCACTCAAATTTTCTTTGACCTCATGGGGGCTTATTAGCAGTCGCATTAAAAAACAACCAAAAAACAATGGTTTATTACGAAATGTTATCTGAACGCTTAGGTAAGCTCACTCAAAGTAACAAACCAGCCGAGTCAGAAGCAGGGAATCTTTGTGTGAGCGGGGGGGGTGAATGCGTTTGGTACAGTGGACCATTGTAAACTCTATGAAAACTGAGAAAGTAAGAAAAAGGGTTCAAAATTTCAACAAAAAAAAGTTGTCGAAAACCGAACCCTCAAAAACCGGGGCATGTGAAAACCGAGGTTCCACTGTAGAAAAATCACTAAAATTACAGTGGACCCCCGCTAGCAAATTTTAAATCCGTGCAAGATTCATTGTTATCGAAAATTACGTTATGCGAATGAATTTTCCCCTAAGAAATTGGAAATCAAATTAATCCGTGCAAGACACCCAAATTTTGAAAAAAAAACTTTTTACAACATGAAATTTTAAATTTTTAAACACACAAACTGAAAAAGGCATGCACAATTAATGACACTTTTTTTTATTGAAGAGGGTGAGATTGATGGGATGGGGGGAGGAGGGGTTATGTTTAAAAGGGGAAAACCCCCTTCCAAAAGGACTTGGGGGTGCAACCTTTTTCTGGGGTTTTTCCCCTTCTTCTTTTAATGCCACGGGGCCCGCTTCAGGGCATGGAGTTTGTCGCCAAAACAATTGTCCATAGGGCCTGTACCTTCATTTTTTATGATTTCCCCAAAAGTGTTTCAAAACATTGTCAGTTAATAGTCCCCAAAGGGGTTGGCAAAGCTGTGTGGGGGGGATTTTCACCAAAAAGGTTTGCACTTTGAGCCCTTTGCACAGTTTTCCTTAATCTTTGTAGTAGGAAATTTTCTTCAATTTCTCTCTCCCCCCTTTTAAACCAGTTCCTCAGGTTGGCCTTTGCTTTTGAAGTTGATCTATCAGTCATCGGGGTTGTTTTTATTGTCCCCCTCCACCAACTTTTCCCCACACATCCCCTAACCTCCAACCCCAAGGACTTTCCCAATCCCATAATGGTTTCCTCAACGGCTTTCGATTCTCGGGGTTAGCCTCAAACCCTTCAAATCCCTTTGTCTAACACCGGCCACAGTTTTTCCAAGCAGAGTTCAAGGCCTCTTATCCTCCCCCCCAACCCTTTACCTTAAAAGGTTTAACAATTGAGGTTTTAAAGTGTTTTCCCCAAAAGTTTTAGGCAGTTTTTTTCTGAGGTCACACAAAGCACCTTTCAAACGGCTTTTGTGTACGTTTTTGAATTTGCAAAAACCTGTGGCCCAGGGCTGCAGGAGAGGAGTGGTTTTGGGAGGCAAAAACTTCCCCTTAATGAATTTCATGTCCCCATAATTTGCTCCCCACTTCTGCAGGTGACCAGGGGATTGTCAACCCAGGGGCACTTAAGGTCTAATTTCTTTTTAGTTGGTAATCTTTTACATTGGGGGCAAATGCGGGTAAACCTTTTACAGAAAAAATCCCTAGTGACCCCTGCCTTACTGTTTTTTCCCCCCACAGCACACACAAATTAGCCTTAGGAAATTTTTTTGCCCGAACGGTTGGGGTTTAGAGTGAACATAAAAAAGGCTTCACTTTTCAATCACCAGTCTTAAACACAAAGAGTAACCCGCTTTTATAGGTTAGTCCTGGGAGTCCCTTTTTCCCCTGAGAATGTAGTCCCCGCTTGGGATTTTTTTCCAAAACAGGCCTGTTTCATCACAATTAAAACTTGTTTAGGTTTTAGTCCTTCACTGTCTATGTACTCCTTGAATTCCTGCAATATTTTTCAGCCGCTTTGTGGTCCGAAAATGGGAGCCTCACCTCCTTTTCACACTTGTATGCCACTACGATTTTAAATCTCTCAAACCAAAAATTTGCTGGGGCCCTTTAAATTTACTCACATTCATAGTTTAGGCATTTTTCTAATTAAATCATATGCAACTTTCCCGCCTTTTCATTAGTCATTGAGAGATGCATTCTGCTATCGTTTTTTATTTTCCACACCAATAAGGTCTCTCAACATCTTCCTCACTTTCGATCTCTGTTTCGAAAACCAGTTTAAAATTTTTCAAAAACAGTTCCTTGATTGCCCTTTTTTTTCCCCCAATGTAGGTGGTTTATTGGGGTTTATTAAACCTGGGCCCACTCGGAGACCGCACCCCCACTTTTTATATTTTCAATGATCCTTTCTTCATCTTATATAATTTTCCCCCCTTTTCCTGTAGGGTTTGGACTAGAAGTTTCTTGGGGCCCCCTGGTCACTTTTTTTGCAGTAAAAACACCAGAAACACTGTAATTACGAAATGTTCCCAAATTTTATGCTTGGTGTTTTCCCGGAGGCTGGCTGGTAAACAAGCCCCGGCGGGGAAAATGTGAGGTGGTAAGGGGGCAAATTGAGGTCTCGGACGAACAGCGTTGAGCGGGTTTTTAGGGTATGCGAGGGAAAATCTTAGCGATAAAAATTTGGGTATGCGGAATTTAATTATGTAAGGCCAACGGTATGGGGGGTCCACTGTACATTGTTTAGGTATGCATGGAAGAGGCCCGTTGAAAATCCAAGGGTCGTAAACGAGAAGCCCCTAAGTGAGGGGGAGGCGTTGAATGTTTTGTCTCAAAAATTTCCCTTTCAAGAATGAATTATGAAAAGGGAGTTTTTTTTTCTAAAAGTCTTTATAAAGCTCCGCTGAATTCCCCTTGGCTTGTGTCCTTGTTTGTCGCACGTTTTTTTTCACATACTTCTTTTTGGATTTGTTTACTTGTTGATTGCCCGGCATGGTTATAGTCCTGGTGATGGTCAGATCAATCAGGTATCAACCATAATAGTAATAAATCAATGAACTTATGAAGTTCCCTCTTAAAGGGCAAACGAGGCCAATGGGGAATTTTCCTTAAAGTTTTGAAAAGAATGCAGAAAAATTTGGCCCTTTTCCACTTTGAAAATAATATCAAATGTCTGTGTTATTTCTCCAAGCTCAAGTTCCTTATACGAGTTTTCCATTATACATTAACAGTGTTCACTAAAATGTCATGAAAGTGGCCACTACATTTAAAAGGTGAAAAATAAAAATAAAATTTTCTGTGATATTTTGGTACTACGGCATGTTTTCATACGTTTTTCATGAATAAAAAAATAATCCAAACCAAAGGGTGGGAAGAAAGATGAAAAAAGAATAAAAATGTTGTTTTAATATGGTCTTAAAACCTTTCAAAAGAGGAAAGTAGGTGTAGTTTAAAACCCAACACCCTTTATGACCCATCAAAAGGTGAATATAACCTTTTATGCGATACTTATAATTCAAGTAAAAAAAAATAACATACAGTATACGATCAAAAAAAAAAAAAAAAAAAAAATCCGATTAAAGTGTAATATGTACATAATATGTACTAAAAAAACAAAAATTAAACTGTAGTGAATTTTTGAAAATGAAAGCCTCACCAATGGGAAAGTTGGTCAGCACGCTTAACTTAATTGAACACATACAATGCTAAATATCTTGCCATTTATGTGTGCATGCTGCACGTGCACACATGACACAACAAACCACAGAGTTGTTAGGGGGAAATGGAATAGTCGGCAAGCGATGTGTGGAGGGGAACCATACATT